TAGTATCTAGTAAAATATTTTAATATGGCATGGAGGAATAAGTCCATCAGGAAAACTGCATAAATGAAAATGTGTTGGCTTGTGGAAACATTTGTTGAAATCTCAGTGAAAAATGAATATTAAAATGAAAGTTAAAATTTTACAGGGAATGAAATATCTTGTCCACTTTATGATAAAGTACTTTTTTTTAAAATAAAAAGCTTTGGAAAGTTAAGAGGCATGGTATTTTGCAAACTCTGTTATTTTGCTGTGTGTGCAGGAATTTTCAAAGGATTCCATGAAGGCAATAATGCTCAGTCTAGGATTAAACACTGGAGGTACTCAGTATATGTTTACTCCTCTTCAATGAAACCAGCTTTTCCAGAGGGGAGACTTACAGTGCAAAACAATACAAACCTCTCTGCATTGTCCAAAGACTGCATCAGTATGGTGCTAGAGAAGACCAGGTAAATTGCTGGAAGAAAGTTAAATGTTCTGAAGGTGAATTCACACTCTCTGTAGTAAGCAAGGAGTTACACACTTCTGTGAATGAACGACATGACATTACTGAGGTCTGCCCTGTATACCGGCTCACCACAAACTACTTAGCATGAATACAGGACAATTATCAATGGGCTTAAGTTACATGGCCACAGTTAAATGTCAGCAAAATCTTTCATAATGGAAGTAACAGCACAGATTGCCTACAACAAAGCTTTTTTGACACAAGTAATTGTCTGAGACTAGGAAATTTACAGTCGGTGAAGTCGGAGCAAATGACTTCCCATGGCTATATTGTTTTCAATTCTTTGTTCTGCAAGGATTTCTAGAAGGTTCCAATACTCAAGGTCTGTCAGAAGCTCCAACACTTATCCCTTGCATCCTCTCAACTCCATATTTATGACTGAAAACAAGCTGTTAATAAATTTTTAGAGCTATTTTTTTAAGTTTTCAATTGAGAAAAAGAAATCATTTTACTTAAAACCTTAGACCCTCAAGAGGCCTAAATGCTGCTCTCCTGATTGGAGAAAGGGGCCTAAAGATATTTTATTTTGCACAAATGTTGGCACAAAGCCCGTCATTTATAGTCTTACTTTTTAACATTTACATGGTGGTTCTCGCTGCAAAACTGAGAGTTGAGTTCAGCTCTCCCCATTTCCTGGACAGATACACCAAGAACACACGCACAGTGTGTAACCCCCAGCCCCCTGTAACTACAGTGCCAAACAAGCGGTGTTACCCCTATCAAATGTGGGGACTCCAAGAATGGCAATAGCATTTTTGATAAACTACCAAATGTGAGCAGTTTGACGTCGAAAGATATTGGCATCCCGGGGACTGGTGCCCAGCAGAGAATCGTGAGCTTGCATTTCCTGGGGCAGCCGCGCCCGGGCACAGGGCCATCTCGGGAAGCCAGCCCTTCACGTTTGAAGCAGCTATCTTTGCACCTACTAACGAGAGCGGCAAAGCGCATCGGCTCACCGAAGCTTAAGGCGAGGGAGGCGAGCAGCTGAGGCGGAGGGGCTCGCCCCGCACAAGCCCACCGACGCCTCCTTTGAGCCAAATCTTGAGGGGAAGTAGAGGGGCTGGGCGCGGCCGGGGATCGGCAGTCATCACCTCTCACTGCCCAGAGAGCACCGAAGCGCCATGCCCCAGCCGGACCCCTTCAGGCACCGCCGCCCGCCGCCGGGGACACCGTTACCTGCCCTCAGCACCGAGGGAAGACCGAGCGGCAAAGCGACCCCCCGACCCCGCAGCGCCGCTGCTCAGCCCCGCCCCCTCTCATTGACTGTCCCCTCTGCCCATCAGCGAGCACCGCCCCCTTCCGAATCCTGGCCTTCGCTCCTCGTCTCCCGAGTGGCCGGTGGGCCCTGTCGATCTTCCGCGCGAACGGCGAGAGGAGCCGCTTGCCCCGCCCACCCCTTTTCAAGAGTCCCGGTCCACCCCGTGTCGGGGCGGGGGTTTGATCCGCCCGCCCGCTCTCCTGTAGTGGGGGGGCGAGCGG